AAAAGATTATAGAATAAGAATAGGTACGGTAAAAGTAAGGTGGTAAGGTATACCAGAAGATATCACAGATCTATTGTATACTTTTAGGGATATTATTATAAGGTATTACAGCACTGGAAATGAAAGATAATTGGGTAGGGCAAATATCTTAAAGAGAGTAGTGAGAACAGAGAGCATAAATTGCAGCAAATCTTTGATAAACAATATCGAGATTGTCTAGGGCTTCGGTATATTCACTAATTATGATGGAATATGCGAACTTGTGGCTAAAGGCATTTATTAAGCGATATATTGTTTTATCAAATAGATCGTTATAGAAATATTCATTATCAAGGATCTCTGTTTAAGCAACAAAATCATATAACTTAGAATAGAAATCAAAGAACCTTTCTTTAAACAATATAACAAAAAAGTTATATTTGATTTTAACTATTCAAATCATAGAGGAATCTAATGATATTATATTTATAACTAGAGAAGTTATATTGATTATTATTAAGGTTTTTAACAGAAATCTGAGATTATTGATTAATACAAATTCTTTACTTTTAGATAGTGTTGATATAATCGGTATTAGTTTTGAAAAGAAGATTTAGAGAGATTTAATGATTATTCCTAATTATAATTATAAAATATTGATTTGTAAATAATATAATCAAAAAGGTATAAACAGAATTTTGATTATATACTTAGAATCTACAAATAAAGAATTATATAGAATGCTAAAAGGAGAATTATATATATAGGTATTTGGGAGCCATAAGGGTTAGGTCCAGAAGAGTGAAAGAGTCCTAGAGATAAGTATTGTATAATGCCTAGGTCTAAAACTATAGAGCTAGGGCTCTAAGCTATGAAAGAAAGGTCTAAGAGAGCCATTGTATCATACTACATACGTAGTATAAGCCAGTGGGTGGAAGAGAGCCGTCTGTTCCGTCACATTGAAAATAATCATGTGATATTCAAAAATAATCATATGATATTCAAATTGATTATGTGATATTGGAAAATATAATATGATTAGGCCTATTCAGTCAATAAGATCCCATTATTTATACCGGATTTTCGAAAAAGTTGTACGGTATTCCGGTATTAGCTAAAAATCCGGTATCACTATACAAAAATCAGAGAATTCGATAAATCATTCCGGTATAACCAGGATTCCGGTATAATGGAGTCCGGTATAAACAAGTTCTACTATATATCAATAGAACAACAATGGAAAATAATAACTATAAAAAAAGTACGGTTTCTTATATTCAATTTGTTTGATCATATCTTGTCTCCTTATAAGATTATACCAGGTTTAGATCTAGACACTAAAGTATATCAATCTGTACCTACCCGTATAATTACAGATGAATTTTATTTCAACTCAACTCAACTGCCACAACTCACATCATGAGTTCTATAGTATCCCTGAATCGAAACTCAGGTCGAAAAAATCTGCAGCAAAATAACATTGAATAAAAGCACTCAGCAAGCGCGAAGCTCGGCCCAGGAAAGTTTCGTTTTGAAGCGAAAATTAGAGGCTAGAACCTATCGAACCTGTCACCGAGTATGAAATGTATACTTGGCTAGTAGCTAGTACGTAGCTACTACTGTATAGGTACATCGAACTACATATGATAGTACATATGTACAAGAATGGGTTGGGCAAACATGAGCGAACTGGCAGTGCATTTGTGAAATGCGCCATTCTCTCCACATTCGAGTCTTATCGATAAAATATTGATGCGGGCAGAAAAATCCAAGTCGAAACTCGAGAGTCGTGAGGAAGTATATCTCAGCTGTCAGTTAGTAGCTAGCCATCTAGGCAAAGCATGGTGTTCTGTTCAAGCCGGAATATGTGGATTAGGTACTTCATACCGGTTCTAGGTTCTACTTTCATGTGAAGTATCATTATACGATGTCCACAGTTCATGGGTGAGAAGGGATGGATATCCATCGTTAAATCTCCTATTCTCCTATTATACCTAAGTCTAGATTCGATGTCTCAGCTTGCAGGATAAACACATGAAGAGTTTAATGTAGGAATCAGTAGGATATAACTTGCAGTCTTTAGTACTCAGGCGAATGCCCAAAATCTTTAGACATAATACATTAGACTGAGTCTAGAACCTGGAACTGCGGTAAGTATGTAGGTCCCGGCATACTTCCTTCCTCCTAGCTGGGTAGAAATTCTAGCTTTTGGAATATAAATGTAAGCGCCGGTGCCGACTTTGAGATTGAGAGTGCTTGGATTTGTTTGTGAAGATAGGCCGAGATGGGATTGAGGTATCTTTGATCTGTCGTCTGTATCTGTATAGTGGTTAAAACATTCTAGATGTAAGATGCGGGAGGGATTTTGGGAGAAGGGGGGTTGGAGCGCTGGTAAGTGATGGGTTCATATTGAGTATTTGCGGCGAATGGTTGGTGTTGTACAATTTAAGCACCTCAAAATACCTTCAGGGGTAAACTCGGTTCGAGGGAATGAACAAAAGGGAGGGCAAGAATAAACATATACAGACCATCAATAACACAACCCAAAAGCAAGTTTCCAAGTTTCTCAGAATGGAGGAAGGAAAGGAGGAAACACATAAAATAAATATTTGATCGAACACGTACATAATAAAATCACATCACATTCAGTCATCCATGCCATGCCATCCCACAAAAGGACAAAAGGACAAAAGGACACCAAATTACTCGAGTAAAATCGACAAATTCTCAAATTACATACAATATATATATATTTATTGATTTCAATTAATTACGTTTCCTTTCCTTTCCTTTCATACGCTTCTAATTATCCCTCTCCCATTCCTCTCCTCACCCCTAATATTCTCTCTCACCCTCGCTCTCACCCTCGTCCCCCAAACACAAACCAAACCCCCTCCAAAAAGTCGTTAAAATCCTCGTGTGCCCCCTTGAATCCGGGTCACACTGTGGCCTTCTTTCTATTCCAAGAAAAAAACCCAGTAAAGGTGAGGATTCCCGCATAAAACGTATATGCGTTTTTGATTTCTTGGCCGGGTTCATTTGTGTTGTGTTTAGAGGCCGAGTCGCGCTGCGTTTCAAATCTCGCCTTCGCCCTCGCCTTCGTCTTTTTTCAACACTACCCCTATTATATCCTCTCCATATCCCATTACCCCTCCCTCCGATCCAAACATCACTTTGTCCACCCCGTCTCAAAATTACATCCACCCCACCCCCCTATTCCAAGTCAAAAAGGTATCAAGAACCCCCCATCCACAAATAATCTACAAGAATATCCATCCTATCCATCCATCCAAACGCCCAGGTCAAAATCCACACTTGATATCCTCCCATCCATCCATCCTTCCATCCATGCCCTTTCCATCCCTTTATATGAGTATCACCATATATCATCCCTCTAATGCATCGCTCGCTTGCTCATTGGTGGTCGTTCGTCCGTCCCCCTATATACATACATAAATACAATACTATGGCACAAATATGATATCCTTCCCGACCTCTGTTACAAGAAAACGAGATGCAGAACGTCGAGAAACAAAAAAGAAAGAAAGCAAAAGTGGTATCTCTAAAACCATTATCATCATCGGCCGTCACATCATTAACGCCTATAATCACCCATTTCTTCTTCTCGTCCTCCTCATACTTCATCTCCCCACACTCACCAGACTGTATATCCAGCTCGCCTCGGGTACACTTCCCGTCTGCAAGCACCACTTCCTCGTCCTCCCACTGACTCTTCCCACCGGCCCCACCATTCCTACCTCCCCATTAGGTCCCACGATATCCTCCCACACATTACACGTAACTCCCTTATTCCCAATCATGCTGAAGCAATCCGCACCTAGCACAATGTCTAATAACACCTCCACCGATTCATCCGGATTCTCCGGTTTCATCGGTTTTCGCGTGACGAGGATACGACGCTCGATACCCTGGTCCACAGCACAAGCCTGACGCATGCCAGGTGGTGGTGTTGTGACGGTTAGCCTAGCGTTTCCGCAATCTTGCCACTTGGATCTTGTCTCGAGGTAATATAGGCGAATTTTGAGATTTTCGGCTGTAAGATTGATGCCACCATATGATGTCGAGGTGCCTGCCAAACTTGCGGGGTGAGGTGTTTGAGGAGGGGTGAGGCCAGACGAACTAGTATATAAACTTGATGGACTAGATGTGCGGCCTGATTCTATGGAAGACTTTGCGATATTGAAAAATGAACTTCCGGTTAACCTCTTAAAGGATTCGGAAAGACGGGAAGTAGACGGAGAGCTACTTTGCTCTGAAACCACGACAGATGGTGCACGGGTTGATGCACGATAGCTCTTCTTTCGTCCCAAGCTCAAGAAGCTTTTCTTCTTGTTGGCAACTGCAGTTTCGTAAGTTGCTCCACCATATGAATTGAGAAGTCGCTCCTCTTCGAGCTTCTTATATGTTGGATTATCCATGCGAGCCTTATGAATAGAATTGTACAAGTCAACACAGGCAGGATTATTCAAACTACGGTATCTGATTGTAGAGCTGCATTTAACTCGAGAGTCACTCGTCGGGGGAGAATGTATCTCAATATCGAGTGAGTTACTTTGCCTGAGCGTAACAACCGGTGTAAGTACTTGGCCAAGCAATGGTCTCTTGTCCCCGTTGGAACTTGTGTCATCGGAGCCTTCTACAACCGATTCTTGAATGGTTGAAAGAATCGGAGAGGAATGCTTGGATGACGTTTCGAATACTTCAATCAAGCCTGGACTGACGATTATGGAGCAAGATCTCGAATGAACATCATCCCAGCGGCCTTTAGCATTGTTCCAAGTTGTTACAGTGGCGACGTGTTTCCTGATATCTGTATTGTTGACCTTGTGTATGATTGGAACTCGGGGTGTGGAAGCTAAAGGCGCCAAAGTGACATTTGGCAAACTATAAAGAGAGGTTGTAGGTGAAATGGCACGTCTGCCATATATGCTTGGAGCAGGTTCGGCTTCTAGGAGATCAGCAGCTTCAAGCTCATCAAGCTCATCGAGTTCGTCTTCCTCAGAACTAGATGCTGACTCTTCTTCTTCTGTATCAGATTCTTCAGATGATGAATAGGATATTTCGGAAACTTCTTCAGAAACCTCAGATCTTTCCGATATATCGGATATATCAGAAGGTCGGTATTCATGCTTAAGTGGAGAGGAAGTGCGTCGAGATCTTGATTTTGGTGCTGGGGGCTCGATGATTATTGGTTGCTTAAGGCCGCTAGGAGACATCGACCTGTGAGCTGGCGGCGGTGGTGGTGGGGTACTTTCTTCTTCAGTGTAATCAAGGCTACGAGATCGGGTGTATGTCTCTTGTGAATCTGATGTATCATATGAGTTGCGTCGGTTATTGTCTTTGGTGGTAGAAGTGCTATCAATCGAAGAAGCAGAGCTTGTTTTGCGAACTTTTGGAATAGATGGAAATTCCTCAGAGGGTGTGAGGGGTCGGCGAGATGTTATGCCTGATGTAGATGTGCGACTTTCATATTCCTCGAAATCATCATTGTCTCTGCTTTCTTCATCCGATTTGTCAAGAACAAGTTGACTTGACAGAGGTGAACTTGGTGTAGATCGGGTGCGACTGTGGTATCTTGATGGATTGGAACGTCTCATAGGCGATTTGCTAGAGTTTTCCTCGAGAGAAACGTCTCTATATCGTCGTGGTGAGCCAGGGGATGATGTTTCTTTGCGATCTATCTTTAGGGGGGCTGGAACCTCTACAGACGATGTAGTAGAAAAGGTCGAAGATCGTAGTCTTTCCTTTGAATGGTGTTTTCTTCTCCTTCGACGAGCACCAATTGGCAACTCGTTATCATCAGGATCACCCGTCTCACTTATCTCTGATGGATCCATAGACATCATTGATGCCGTATCCGTGTTATCCGGTATAGAGCTCAAAACTGGTTGAGGCATTGGGATGGAACCCAGCATTTCGATCCATTCTGCTGCAGTTTCAAGCTCAGCACCCTTCAGAAGCAAACTCTCCCGCCACTCTATGGGCCTTTGTATACCGCGGATCATGACTATTACTTCACCAGGTTTGTCTCCAGCACAAGCAGATATAAAATCTCTATTAATGGGGGGAAAGAGTAAGTAGCGATGTGTAGCTTCTGGTGTAATTTCTGATGCACATATTAGGATGTCTCCTGGGTCAATTTCGTCGGAAAGATTATCGCGAAGTATCAATTCTACACGGCACTCGATTCGTTGGCCGTTAGAATGTGGGAAGTCAAGATCAAAGAAATCTTTTGCAGAGACTTGTCTGGTCCGATCGATGTGAGCATCTTCAATTGGGGCTAGTGTTTGGGGATTCCGAGCTCGATTTGGGTCAGTATTGTTGGCGTAGAGATCTTCGAGTCTAGCGTGCTCTTCTTTAACACGACGGCGGGCCATTTCTTGCAAATCCTCGAATGTTGAAAGAGCTTTCCCCGAGAGTTCGGAATGATTAAGTTTGTCAAGGCCCTGCGGTGAGTTAGAACGCACCCTGTGAAGATATCACTAGATAAAGCTGCTATGAGGACTAGAAGACATACCTTTGTTAATTTTGCGAGATATTTTATTCTCACAAGAGGTCTCTTGAGCAAGAAAGCAACATCGACCCGTTCACCATTCGAGTTGACAATATCTCCATCAGCATTGCGTGGAACGCTGTCAAGTGACGATACTTCTTTCTCCTCTGCAGATCCTGTGTCTGAAGCAGGTGCTAGATTAACAATGACGTCCTGGAAGCCCAATGTCCATGCACGAGTGTAATCTTGATAAGTTCGATGGGCTCTTTGAAGCCAAACTATGAGATCATCGGGGTCTTCAAGTGGAATACGTCTGTGGAGACTCTTTAGACGTTCGAGAGCAACACCCATGTCAACGATTGGTTTGGTAAGAAATGTTTCTTTCATGTCAGTGGACTCGGGATTGAAGAGGCCAGCAGCAATGGCCGAGTCTGATTTGGAGAGAACACATGTGAGAAGTACTGGGATCACCCCATCAACCAATGTCTTTAATTCTCTCATGTATTTTACCTCGTCGCCCGCCAATTCACGCATCAAATCCCTTTCAGTAGCAGTTTCTAAATTACTTCGAGCGGTGCGCACACTTCGAGCTGATCTGATACTTTTGGTTCGGTTAGATGATGGTGCATCGGGCAACGAAAGCATAGACACCAGATCGGAATGCTTTGTAAGTCTTCGTTTGAGTCCCGATCTATTGCTTGTTCTGCGCGAAAGATTGGAGTCTGACCGTCCAGTCTGGATTGTATTTTGTGTGAGAGTAGTATTAGTAGGATTGGATGAAGTGTCTGCAGACGAAAGAGTGCTAAAGGTTTCAACAGATGCGATTGTGGATAAGCGATGGTCACCAGAGTTTCCAACTCTTCTCCTTCTTCTCGGCCTGTCTGAGATATCTCGATGGTGGTCCGGCACTTCAAGGTTAGTACCAGACGAATGGCTGCGCCGAGAATTATGATCTTCAGATGTCTTTAGGCCATGAACCGAATTTTTGAATTCGTCCAGATCATTATTCTCCTTTTCTTGGTCGGGATCATCATTTTTTGGGTCTAAATCACCCTCAAATGTAGATTCACCTCGGAATGCACCAAATAAAGCGTCTTTGAAAGGCGACTTACGAGCGGACCCAACTATAGGAGGAGAGGCTGCACGTAAAGCCGGGCTTCTTCGAAGTCCAGCCGCGGGTGGAGTGAGAGGTTTCTTAAGATCAATTGGATCATCCAGAACGCGTCCCAGAGGTGACTTATCGCTATTACTTCTGAAGCTGTTATCTGAAGCTTTTCGAACGCGTTTTTGTCTACTTCCTGTTCCTTTGCGTTCATCTTCAAGTCTTTGTTTCAGATCATGTTCAGGTTTTAAAGTGAGCTCCTCATTATCATCATCTTTTCTCGTGGACTCTTCTGCCAACTTTGGAACTGGAACGGGGGTTGAGATATCGAGAAAAGGATCTGTGGTATTATTGAGCCAAGACTCAATTGTTGGAGGACGATTAGCACCACCTCTTGGAGGCATTTCAGGTGTATCATGCGTATCTTGCATAATCTTCTTCCCTTCATTGTAGACACGTTTGAGGACTTTTGGTACTAGATAACTAGGATTCCTCTGGGGTTTAGGTTTATTCACAGTATTGCCAGCTTCGGCACCAATGGGCAGATCCAAGGTACTAAAAGCAGAGTTTCCAAAGGGAATCTCATCCACGGATGCGGAGGGCGAATGGGATTTTCTCGTTTGTCTTTTGGAGTTTGGAGAACGACGAGTTGGGGCTTGTGCAGTTTCATCGTCATCAGAGTGGTTGCCCATATCTTTTCTTTCGTTCTCCTTCGGTGGCTTAAGATGTTTCTCGGACTTGCGTTTGTGAGGCGAAAGCTCATCTGAAGTCTCTGGTTTGAGAGATGATTGGCTGTCCTCCTTATGAACAAGTGTCGGTTTTAGGCTGATACCGTCGAGAAATGGATTGCCCCCGGAATTCTGTTTCTTGGCCTCAGGAGTCTTCCATCTCGCTTGAACAGGCTTTACTCGAATGCCATCCTCCCATCGACCATTCGACCCGCATGGTTTGACTCGAACGCCATCATTGGCTGGAGTCCTGGATGGTTCTGACTTAGGGGTCTGTCTCCCTTTCGATGAGCTAATGAGGCTCTCTTTAGATCCATGGTTCGAAGCCTTTCGTGAGCTTGGACTGCTCCTTGACTCGACTTTTCTTCCGGATTTTGCGGGTCTCCGGTTCGGCTCCTCGTCAATTTCAACTATGATCTCTTCTAAGGACTTGGCCCTCATTTTGTCTTTGTGTGACCCACGAGTTTTCGGTTGTGGAGTTTTGCTTGCGCGTGGAGTAGACTGGGCCCCTCCATGCCCCCCGGCCTCAGCCTCCGTACGCTTGACCCAATCGGCAATTTTGCTTTCCAGTTTGGGATTGGCAGCCGTTTGCTTCAGAAAGTCCTTGGGTATAGTCCGCGTCGTCACTCTGATTTCTCTTTTCTTTGGAGAGGCCTTATTCTTGTTCATCACCCAATGATCATCGCTTATAACTCTTTTCCGAGGTGCACTCTTACTCCTCACTTCTGCGACCCAGCCTTCGGGGTCCCTACTTTTCCGTCGTCCAGGTCGAGTGGTCTGATTTTTGACATGGAGCCTATTATCCTCAGTCACAATACTGGGCCCAACAACACTCTCTTCCTCCACCTCCACTATTATCTCATCTAGCTCCAACTCTGGATCATCGGCTTCCTCAATGGCAGCTGCTGCACTAGCTTTTTGCCATTGCTTAACCCGATCATGAACTCCTCCTGGCTTCTGAATTCTATTTACAGCGCTCTCTCGCATCTCCGCCTTGACTTCATCGAGACTTTTCCGTCTTTGGCGACTTGCTGATGGTCTGCCCAGCAGAAAATCACTAAGCAATGTCGGCTCCGCTCTCTTCGACGGTGGTCGCTTGTGTATTGGTAAGCTGGCAGGAGTCCGTGGCTTATCTCCCGGTTTTTGTATACGTGTGCCATTGGGAGTGCCCTTGACGGGAGATGTCCTTTGCGGGTGTGTTGGAGCCTTGGGTTTGGCCGGAGCTATTTCATCCTTTTCGGGCTCGGGGGAAGGCATGGTCTGGTAATTTCCATAGCGTCAGTACCTCGCCATAGCATAAGTGACGGAATGTGTTGCGCAAAACGTGGTTCAGGAAGCAATAGTCGTATCATGAAAGGAATTTTAGATGCGCACCTTGATCAAGACCAGTTCCCAACTTTAACATGCGGCGACTCAAAAAGTTGAGTATTGTGATACACCATCGAAGCAAATTTTTGTATTGGCATACATAAAATAATACCCTGCGCCGGCGGTGCTCATTCACTCACCCGGAACCGAACTGGACTTTGTAAGAATTCGATGAACAATTGGGCGCTGAGATGTGCTGTCAGTTGATACAGCAACCCGAACAATAAGACACAAATGACAGGCCCTATGCGGTACCAATTGGCGTGGAGATGTTCTCTCAAATCGTGAATCGTAGTAATATTGATGTTCCTTTTGTTCAAGTATCACAATGATATTGTCTGCATTATGGAACAAAAGTTTGTGAAGTGTATTTTTCGCACGGTTATGTGATTGTTTACTGCGTTGATTTGTTGACGAGAATCTAGTGGAGGTGCAAGGATGCAGCCAACCTTTAACATTATCGTCCGAAAGGGTTGAAATGAGATACAACAAGCTGAATACCGGTAGAGAGAAAGTTGGAAGTGTTTGATAAAGGCTATATATAATTTTGGATGGTTCGATATAAACAAATTGAACAGCAGGAAAGGAAAGGATCAGCATCAATGCCCACCAAAAATGGAGCCTAGAGCGAACCGCCAGCTTAAAGAATATTAGAGAAGCGCTACGGGTACTGTACAGGATGTGATAAGTGTGATGGATGAATAATGTTGGATATATTTATTGTATGTGCTTCTATTGTATGAGATGAGATGGAGAGTAATTGTAATAATTACGCGCCGGCAACGTATATGAATGGGAATAGGAACATAATAAAGAGTAATAAATGTCGATATATAGGTAACTCATAGATCAGAGTTGAAACCTGAAACCATAAAGGTTGACTAACGTAACCTTAGAGCTTCAATCGGAGTTACTATTTCCCGATCCCTGTTTAGTAATTATATTATTATTATTCATCCCCTCTCCAAATATCCCACCTATCGATAATTGAAATCTATACTCAATCATGTCAACATTCAAGCCATACACTTATTTTCAATGTCCTTGTTCCGATACGTCAATTCCTGCAAACTTATCTACTCCCTTGGATTCTCCAACTCTAGAAGAACGGACATTTGACCCAAGAGCTCCACGTGCGAATTATAGCTTATATCCACTAGAACATCTTCTATATTGTGAAGATTGTCATCAGATTCGATGTTCGAGATGTGTGTTAGATGAAATAGTGACTTGGTATTGTCCGAACTGTTTGTTTGAAGTGCCGAGTAGTACTGTGAAGAGTGAGGGTAATAGGTATAATAAATATTCTTGTTATTGTTGTTCTTCTGTCAGATTTCCCGCTTGCCTGGACATAGCTTAGGTGCTCATGCTAACGTTGTATTATCAACTACTTAGATGCACAAGGTCATGTTTTCAATGCCCAATATGTATAACACCACTTTCAGTCAGCGAAGTCCCAGGCCCTGAACATCACACCCTTCATGCAACAACTCCACCAGCGAATCCCTACATCCTCCATTGCGCATACTGTATGTGGAGCTCGAGCGAAATCGGCATACATTTTGAGAAACCAAATTCCGTATACTCACAATTAGCCAAGATAAAGAATGGCGGTACTCCACTCATAGGAGCAAAAGAACGTCGTCGAGATCGAGAGGAAAGGCGGACATCTTTGGCTACAGAAATGATACTGGAAGAGGCGGACGAGGTGGCCGAAAAGCACTTGGACCCAAACGAGAAACTTGATATAGAAACTCAATATGCGAACCTAAAGTCCTTCTATCAGGGGCAATTGGCAGACTCAAATCCAAGCAGTGCACTAGGATTTTCAAATGATTATGGATATGGATCACCGGGAGCACTAACCCGGATAATGGGTCTCTACACAGGTGGAAGTTTTGGCGACAGGAAAGCGAAATCTAAGGCTGCAAGCATGCGAGAAGCGAGTGATTCCCCCGAAGGATTCCAAGTCTATGACCACTCTTCCGAAACCGCGGCCATCACACAACTTCATGAAGAAGGCTGGGCAGGTACAATTTCAACTGAGCAAAGAATAAACCAAATCTCCCCTCCAACTCGTTTCCTCGACTCTCTCCGCCCAATACCCTGCCTGCTCCGCACCAAGCGTTCCAAACGTTGTCGCACCTGTCGTCACATCCTCTCCAAACCCGAAGGCAAAGTCCCAACCACCCGCTTCCGCATCCGCCTCGTGGCCCTCTCTTACATCCCGTCCATAACTCTCTCTCCCCTCCAACCCACCCCACCTTCCACTACCGGTCCGACCTTCATAACCCTTACCCCTTTAAAACCGACCCAATTCCTTCTGACCTTCAAAAACCCCCTCTTCGAACCCGTCAAGATATCTCTCGCAACAAAAGGCCTCACCACCGACCGCCACGCCTCCAAAGTCATCCTTCTCTGTCCCCAATTCGACGTCGGTGCTAACACAGACATGTGGGACGAAGCCCTCCAAGACTCCTCCACTACCCACCCCCAAGATCGAAAACAATCCACCGCGACCCACAGCAGCATGACCAGCATCGACCTTAGCAACGGAGCGCACGGTAAACCATGGGACAAAGGTCGCAATTGGACGAGTGTAGTCGTAGAAGTTACACCAGGCAAACTCAAAGCGAAACTGCAGGGATTAGAACAACAGAGGAGATTGGAAGAAGAGGTGCAAAAGGAAAGGGTGGAAGAGGATGCCGATGTGTGTGAGATAGCGGTGTTTGTGAGGGTGGAGTGGGAGGCAGATGCGGCGGGCGATGGAGAGGGTAAGGGGGTGGGAGAGAAGGATGGGAGGGAGAAGAGAGAGTTGGCTTATTGGTGTGTGGTAGGGGTGGGGAGGATTGACAAATAAAAGTAGAGAGGCTATTTTATTTGTATGAGGATGTGATGGATTCGATATGGAGTCGGTGGACAGGAGGTGGAAGATCAGTCCTGTGGAAAGGTGGAAATTTATACCCAGTTGCAGTTCTCCTTTGACCTGGCGACGAAAAGATTTAGAACCAATAGAAGTGATACCACGTTATAATTTCGCACATGAATTTGACTCAGACATCTAAACAAGAGACTTAGGCAATTTTTTACTTTCTTATTTTCTCCTCTTATTCTCATTCTCTAACAACCTACTGAGTAATGCGATTAAGAATGAAGACCTGTACGCCAGGACCTGAATGTACACCTGATAGAAAAAAGTACTAGAACGAGATAAAAAAGACAACCTTCCATAACCTAACAAGAGAGAATCCGTGGGAATTGTTTTGAGACATGCAAAAGAAGCGTATTCAGAATCTTCGAAATCTTCGAAAAGTAAACTTTAATTGAGTTTATACTGAAGGGCGACGTGATGTGCGAGTAGTATGGTGGCAAATAGACGAGTTGGGAGGGGTGGATTAGAGGTCTGTTTACAAGGATCGAACGTAACGTCCAGATACCATACAATGATCTCTCTCGAAAGGTTCTATAGTAGATTTTGGTTAGTTGTTGAAACAGTAGATTGGGTTGTTTTTTGGGGAAAGCTTACCTAGAGTCAATTGTTCCAAAGGCTTAATTCTTTCCTCTCTCAACTTCTGGACTTCTCTGGCGAAGACGGCTTCTGGTGCAGCGGTACTGTCGATACAGGACGCCTTGATGGAAACCAAGATACCACCACCAACCTTCAAGAACAAATGTGCGTTCAAGCCAACAATACGGGCTTGATCAGGTTGTGCAACATCGGCAAAGATAACATCGACCATAGAGACCAACATTCTGTACTTAAGTGGGTGACGAGCGTCCTCAATGATTGGGATGACGTTTGTGCGGTGGGTAGCCATGTTGATAAGATCACGGCCAGATCTATGGGAGAATTCGACTGCGAAAACAGTTCCGGTAGGTCCAACGATATCGGCAACGTGGGAAACGGAAGTTCCAGAAGCGGCACCGAGGTAAAGGACCTTGGCACCAGGCTTGATGAAAATCTCGTCCATACCACCGAGGACACCTGCGGCAATCTTACTTCTGAAAGGATTCCACACGCGGTATTCGACTTTGGTGGTGCTTGGAGTACCATCTTCGTTGGCTGGTCCGGCGTTCTCGACACTGATGCGCTTCTCGCCGTATACTGATTCACCTGGGCTAAGGTTCTTGGTGACCAACATATCTTCCTTGCCACGAGCGACAAAGATTCCTTGATGACGATGGGGCTCCTGTAGAAAAGTCATTAGAACTCAATTGAAAGCCATTGGAGCATAATCTACTTACGACAATGGTCTTAGCACCACCTCTTGCTCCACCAGCACCTCCACGTCCTCCTCTTGGGGCACCACGTCCTCCACGGGGAGCTCCTCTTCCACCGCCACGACCACCTCCACGATCTCCACCACCTTTTGAGAAGTTAGCAAGTTTGATTCTAAGCATTGGCGCATGCGCATTGAACCATTGAGATTGAAATCGCAATGGAAGTATAAAAGTACGAACCTCTACCACCACCTCTTCCTCCAAAGCCTCCACCAAAGCCTCCGCGACCACCTCTATCACCACCACCTCGATCACCACCACCTCTTCCCCCGCCGAAACTTCCTCGTCCACCGCGGTCACCGCCACGAGCACCTCCTCTAGGTGTGTATGCCATTTCTGCTTTGGTTGAAAGGAATTGAATGTGCAGAAAAGATTATAATTGAGGCAGAAAAGATACTTTTCAAACGATTCAAGATTTTGGGCGACAGGTCAATCGGATGCAATAAATTTTCTGATGAAATTTTGGGATTTTTTTAGGCGAAAGGTCCTAGCTCCTGGTATATCACGTGTGTGGCTGGGATTTTGATGCACAGGAGCGTTTTAGGACTACCGTTAAGTTTTTGAGTTGATTGGGAACGAGAAGTTTTATTGTCGATAAGAAAAATGTATATGATTTTATGAACAGTTAAAACCACGTTGAGGACTGCTTTCATGTCGATTTTGAATGGCTTTCGAGGAGTCGTTTGTCTTTCTACTGCACCATGTCAAAAGACCCTTACACCGTGGCTAGGTACCCTATCGTGGTATATGCTCAACCTCACTCGCCACATGTATGCTCACCGGGAGTTTTTTCATACCTCACCGAGGTGATTGTCTGATACCGGTTAGTTATTCTGAAGTGTCCATTGACTTGCATTTCTCCTCCACATATCAACAAATGCTTTGGTAAATTTAAGTTCATACATGGTAGTCCTGGCTGCTATGTGTATTAAGAGGTAAAGTAGAGGGGTTGTAATACGCGGAAGCGGTGGAAGAAGTGGCTATGTGATTGAAGTTTCTCTACACACGTTGATGTACTTTGGCTTATACGATTATCCTCCTCTGGAAGTTCATTAAGATCTTTTGACCATTTGTGGCTCTTACTTCTTGTGCTTGATATTGTATCTCCACGGTATCATACCTCTGCAAGGCCGAGGAAGAAGTGTTATAATTCCGAGGTCGAAGAATATTGATTCGTCGAGGTATCAAATCAATCAGAACTTAACAAACACCTTTTAGGAACAAGGATACAACACCTTAAGTGAACCATTGTCTGACTGTCATGTTGGATACAGGATTAATTGAAATTGAGCAAGTGTTCTGTTCTCGGTCCTCAAAATGATGGTGTGATTATGTCGTGAAAGTAAGCTGCCGGCATCAGCCTCTGAATCAACGCCAACCAGTGGTAAGATTACGTTATTGGCTACTCCATTTCGAGTATATCCTCACCTTTGGATCCTTAAAGCATTATCATATTGTGTTATACATAAGAGATTTTCTGCTTGAGAGACTTTTTCTCACAACCATCCAGCGATCAAACGAGTTGTCGTTTTGTCTGATCTCAAAACCAACAGGGGTTTAGAGTATCCCTTGTCATATCTGGCTACATCAGGAAATCGATACTCTTTCAATCATCATTAATTGATCTGATCCGTCTCATGTATCTATTCTATCAGATACTTCTGTCATTTGGTATTTTGTTCGGATGGTGTCGGTGCGTGGTTGTACCTGACAATTCCTTGGCGCTACACACTGTGACCGCATTGAATGCGGAACGACTTATGCTCAATATGGAGTCGGACTGGATTGGTGCATTGAGGTTCATTGCACTCATACGAAAGCCAGGATCTGCTGATGTTATGAGCTTAAAGCGATTAAGATATCTTGGCCCATCTCTGGGCATTTTCGAGCGGATGGCGACATTTCCGAAAGGCTCCCATTGATCACCGAGAAGAGGATTGCCATATAATAGTCGTCAGTCCCCATTGCGGTGAGTCTTGCATCTTATAATTTGTCACTCATTCACAAACATTCATTTTCTTCCCCCGTACTTTTTTCATTCTTTCGTCGAGCGCCCCAGCGGCTGCCATACTGTTGTAGTAATAGGAATTTTTTCAACCGCATAATCTCTCCGTCATATACACCATGCATTTCAACACAATGGCATCACTGGTCTTGAGCCTCACTACTTCTTTGATCACAGCAAGTGAGTATCAATCTACCTGATGTCTTTCTCATTAATGACAAAGATTCAGGTCCGTATCCTCCCTCAGTCCCGGGGACTGCCGAGAATGCTGCAAGAGGTTTAGTTTATACAACTAGAAGCTTCGGACAGCGGGGGAACAGTGTGATCACTATCACAAAAACAGAAGAGGAGCAAATCACAGAGATTTCACGTGGTCGCGAGATCCAGCTCACTAAGCTGGTTCAAGAGCGACTTATCATCATTGATCGAACACAAATTGCTCGGGACAACATTAGAAAAAACCATTTCAAAAACTTGAATTCGCAGCAGGTACATCTTTCCCTCAAGCGAATTTCAATAACACTAGAACTGATGTGATTCTCAGAATACTGTTATCATTGTTGTCACCCAAATTGTCGATGCGCGGGACACTTCTCGCCAAAACATTCGATACATGACACGTCAAGTCCAGGCAGATAATCAAGCTAAGGATACACAATACGTCATGGTCCAACAAGCTCAAGCGATGACCATCAATGGTGCTTCTTCCACAGGAACAGCATCTTTGCCTCAAGGCACTGACATATCGTCTTCCTCTCCCATTAAGACATATGATCCCAATGAAGCACCATCGGTATCAAATGGCACTCAATTATTACCGGTAAATGCAGCAGCTCCAAGTTTTGGGGGCGTAAAGCAATTCCAAGATCCAGCGATTATCATCGAGGAGAATCAACAGGCTTTTGTGAACTTTGCGAGTGCCGGAGGAGATTGATTACTGGCAATTCATGTCTTGGCACGTCAATGATTTTGTTTTGAGCCCCATTGGGTATGCCAAGTGATCGGGAGGTGTCTTTCTATAATTGTTTTGGTAGATCCAAAATTGTATGATGCATCGTCCTGTTGAGTTGGAGGGTGGGTGTGGGCATAGCAGCTCAAGTATTGAATCGCCGATTCAACATAGAAATACCAAGGAATTTTAATGATGACAACTTTCGTTTTTTGAAGACATTTCCAAGTTCGCACATCGTGGTGTAAATCAGCCACTAGTGACCTAATCGGTAAGTGATCTGGAGCTTAAGTTTGCACCGGCTCATGTGATTATTCGGATTCGAGTGTTAGTGCAATTGAGATTAGTACCAAGTGGGTAACTTTTTTTGTCTAAAGACCTTCGTCAACCAGAAATCCCTCATTACGATTTTCATCTACCAAGGTTGGTATAATTCCAGTTTATCGTTCAGTTACATGGAACTTAGTACTGGAAATGCAGATCTTTCACTCGTCAACCCAACGTGATTGGGCCGGACGGGGGGAACATGTACTAGTTAGAACCTTGGAGGCATAATATATTACTCAATTAACGTTAACCTATGTCATTACCAAGGTAGCTTGCTTGGTAGTTAGTGTATCTGTACAATTATTTAAGACTGTTCTGTTTCCCTCTCCTCCACTCATCCTTTTCATACACATTTCAGTTTCGCGTCTACAACCCATACAAAAAAAAATCGATAAAGTAATAATTTAATCAACTGGAATAAAGCAAAGATGCGTATCTCAACCATTGCCGCGCTCATCATGGCGCCTCTCGTCGTATATGCAGCCCCTGCTGCGTATGCAGACCACACCTCCATCGCCCAGCGTGATGCCGCCCCTCAGCCGTCCGTCACTCAACGACTCGATACCGTTATCGAAGAGGGTCAGAAGGTCACCAAGCTTGTCCAAAGTTATGGCGGCGGATTCTGGGATGGCATAAAGCTCTACAACAGATTCCAGGCTTGCCACAAAGCCATTACAAATGCCGAGAAGGCTGCGCAAGACTCAAACCCTTTGGGCGAGGAAGAAAGTTCAGATGTTACTGACGCTTTGGAACGTCTTTCACCTGAGTTTGTAGAGATCTCAAAGGCTCTTTACGAACGTGTAAGTCTTTTCTTCCTTGGGATGAGTCCCTATTGCTTCCATGAGGGTGCTGTTCGGCATTGGATTGTGATGAGTTATTCCGAACACAGTGCTAATGAATGCAACAGAGAAAATTGATTGTCGGTACACACTACACCCCTCGCTTTCTCAAGGAAATCGTCAAGTTGAGAAATAACGTCAAGACTTTGTACACGACCCTTGAGAACAAAGCTTATCCTTCCGATCAACCAAGAATCGAGGCACTCCGCCGTCAAACCGATGATCAATTCATCGCCGTGAAGAATGAACTTTTAGGCAACCCCAAGAAGACCACAAGATCTATATCCACAGACACCGACGCCAGCGATATGGAGGCCATGTTCCTTCCCGTGGCAACCGGATCTACATGGGATGAGATCAAGGAGGTTCTTGAGGTCTTCATGGAATTGGCTTCATCTGACTCCTCGGGCTTCAAGGATAAGGCTGTTGCTGAGACTCTCGTCTCCTCGCTTACAGGCCAACTCACAAGCGTCGGCGATTTCAAGAAAGAATATGGACTCGCTGAGTAGAGGCCGCGTTTCAGTGGAAAAGTCATGTGTGGCTGGTCGCTGCTGCATTTGATTGGTGAAGAATCGAATGTGTAAGATCAGTTACAAAGGATTGGCTGGTTGGTTCTTTCACAATGGGTTGTGAGGAAAAAAAAATTGTAGAGGTTTGATATTGTAGATAATATAGTAATAGTGTCTAGAATATACAAAGGAAGGATCTACATTATTAAACAAGTTTCCACTTGTATTGATTGTGATTGAAAGAGTGTAAATCAGGACTTTGATTGTGTACTTATAATCTACTATTGAAGAGCTCTTTGAGAGGGTTCGAAAGACTGATTAGGTGTTTAGATGATTGAAGCATGAGGTTTGAAAGAGAATACCTAGAATATGAGAATGAGGTGATCTATTATATCAGGAAAGAAACATAGTATCAGATATCCTTTTATATATTATTCTTATGTACGAGTAGAGAATAGAATTTGCTATATTTTGAAGATAAAAAGACCTGTTCACAAGCAATAATGCATGGATATTCCTCTCCGTTATGATTGACTCAACTGATCCAATAGTTTTCGAATAACAGCCTTCTGAGTATATGTTGTTGTCTTTGTGAATTGCTTTTGATGTCAATGATGAGTACTTCATCTGTACTTTCCCGGCAAGGCTACCTGTCATTCGGCTATTTTTTCACCGTGATTAGGTAAGTCTTTAACTACCTGGCATTATCTCCCCAGAGGCCTACCTAGATAGATGATCACAACAAAACCTCAAAATACACTCTTCTGACCTACAAGTTGAAGTCTTTGATTTTCCCAATCCTTTGATTTTCCCAATCCTTTGATTTTCTGCTGATTTGAGATCGCCTGGCTTTTGGGTATTTGGCACTTTGTCCCAGAACACTTTGGCCCATCCCACATTCCTACTATTTGAATCTCGAATACACAAGGTACCCAGCTTTAAGGGTTGCGCACGATGGATATCGAAATTTTGAAGGAGCAATGGAGTGAAGTGGAGGACCGTGATGGAGTTCGGCTCAGTTGGAATGTCTTTCCAAGCTCTCGCATGGTTTGTCAAGCAGAATCTACTTTGCAGGGCACACGAACTTATATATTGTAGGAAGCCTCGAGGCTCGTTGTCCCTATCGGCGCACTTTATACCCCTCTTAAAGAGAAACCGGATACACCGCTCCTACAATTTGAGCCGGTTATCTGCAAACAGCCATGTAGATCAGTGTTGAATCCCTTCTGGTAAGTCTGGCGCTGAAGGTACATCTTTTTTTGACTGAGCTCATTGTAAATAGTCAAGTAGATGTCAGGGCACTCCACTGGATCTGTCCATTCTGCCTGTCTCGAAACCCTCTCCCACATCACTACAAAGACATAACCGCCCAAGCGATACCCCCCGAACTACACCCATCGAATACCACAATCGAGTACAGACTTTCGCGACCAGCTCCAAGTCCTCCCATTTTCCTATATGTCGTGGATACGTGTCAAGAGGAGGACAGTCTAGCTTCGCTCAAGGAATCTCTTGTTATGAGCTTGAGTCTTCTGCCAGAGAATGCATTGGTTGGATTGGTTACATTTGGAACTATGGTATAAACGGCCTCACACCCATGCTTCACTCATTCATACTAATCCTCTGATTCACAGGCGCAAGTACATGAAATCGGCTATACGGAATGTCCCAAATCATATGTGTTCAGAGGTAGCAAGGACTATACAGCCAAGCAAATTCAGGAGATGCTTGGACTTTCAGCGGCTGGCTTGAGGCCTGGAATGCAACAACCACAACCTGGTAGACCGATGCCCCCAATGGGACCTGCCGCTCGATTTTTGTTACCCGTTTCGCAATGCGAGTTCCAGCTTACAAAAGCTCTCGAGCAACTACAAAAGGATCCATGGCCGGTTTCAAACGATAGAAGAAATCTAAGATGTACTGGTGTCGCTTTGAGTGTGGCAGTTGGACTATTAGAAACTTCATTCCAGAACGCTGGTGGTCGTATTATGCTTTTTGCAGGTGGACCTGCCACGGAGGGTCCAGGTTTGGTAGTCGGTCCTGAATTGAGGGAGTCAATTCGATCTCATCATGATATCGACAGGGACAATATCAAATATTATAAGAAGGCTCTTAAGGTATGTTCTCCGATTCGTCTCATATTCAATACTAACGAATATAGTTTTACGACAATCTGGCCAAGAGAACTGCACACAATGGACACATAATAGACATATTTGCCGGATGTCTAGATCAAGTGGGTCTCCTTGAAATGAAGGGCCTTTCAAACTCGACTGGTGGACATATGATCCTGACGGATAGTTTCACATCTTCTATGTTCAAACAATCGTTCGTTCGTGTCTTCGACAAAGATGGCGAGGATAACCTACTAATGGGATTCAATGCCTCTTTGGAAGTTTTGACTACAAAAGAATTGAAGGTTACTGGTTTGATCGGTCATGCGGTATCAATGAACAAGAAATCTACATCTGTAGGAGAAACCGAGTGCGGTATTGGCAATACTTGCTCATGGAAAATGTGTGGTATCGACCCCAGTTCTAGTTACGGAATTTATTTCGAAATTGCTGGTCAGGCCGGTCCAGCCCAACACCAACAAGCCCAGTCAAAGGGGATGATGCAATTCCTCACATACTATCAACATTCTTCGGGCCAATTCCACCTTCGTGTCACGACAATCTCTCGCAACCTGAGTGGACCAGCTGGGGATCCTGCCATTGCTCAATCCTTCGATCAAGAAGCCGCCGCCGTTTTGATGTCCAGAATTGCCGTATTCAAGGCCGAAGTTGACGACGGACCAGACGTTTTGCGGTGGGTGGATAGAATGCTTATTCGGCTGTGTTCCAGATTTGCCGATTATCGAAAGGATGATCCATCATCTTTCCGACTCGAAAAGAACTTCACACTTTATCCTCAATTCATGTTCCATCTCAGAAGAAGTCAGTTCTTGCAAGTATTCAATAACTCGCCAGATGAGACGGCCTTTTATAGGCATGTACTTAATCATGAGGATGTCAGCAACTCCCTGATCATGATACAACCCACACTGGATTCCTACACATTTGACCAAGACGGCAGCCAACCTGTTCTACTCGATTCTACATCCATTCAACCAACTCACATTCTTCTTCTGGATACTTTCTTCCACATCCTGATATTCCACGGAGAGACCGTTGCAGAATGGAGGAAAGCGGGCTATCAGGACCAAGAAGGTTATGAGAACTTTGCATCGCTTCTGGAACAACCAAAGGAAGATGCTAGAGTAAGCACTTCCAGTCACATGAATTTGAACATACAGTATACTGACCAACGTAGGATTTGATTACCGACCGATTCCCATTGCCACGTTTCATCGTTTGCGATGCTGGTGGTTCTCAAGCACGTTTCTTGTTGTCTAAACTCAACCCATCTACTACACATACGACAGGTGCATATGGTGGAGTGGGTGCTCAAACAGCACAGACAATCTTTACTGACGACGTCTCTTTGCAAACTTTCATGGATCATCTTATGAAGTAAGTTATCCAAATCTAAATCTCTTTATGCTTAGCAGCATACAACTGACACCTCTTTCTCACATAGGTTGGCTGTAAGTGGAACAAATTGATGATGAGTAATTCAACCAAAAAGAAAGGGAGGGTGGGAATTTTGAGCGTTGGTGGCGCAGTTTTGCGATGAGATTTTTTTCGAGAATTTTATCGACTTGATTGCGATGTTGACTAGGTATAAAATAATAGCTGTTAGATCATTCAACAAACGTGACATTGTACTGGTTTGACATTTCGATATTATCGTAAAAGATTCATCCTCGAGCACCTAGGTTAGCCCTTTATTGAACCCCGCGATTTTCCCGTATCTGAAATCAGGCTCGAACATTTTTATATCAAGGCCGCCAGCCCTTGTCTTAAAAGAGACTAGGTAGGTAAGGTAGGTTAACCGAAAGTTCTCCCACACAGACTGATTTGGAGAATTTCTGCGAATTGAGATTTTGATCGTACCAGAATCAACCGTCGACACTATTCCCACCAAACCGATCCCATCCATCAGTCATCATGCGTAAGTGACCAGTGTATTGTTTTTATGATACTATATTGTAGCTAACAAGTTCAATTTAGCTCCAAAGTTGGACCCCACTGAGATTAAGATCATGTACGTTACCCTCACGAAAAAAACCATCAAAGAAATATACCGGCGACAGCAAGATGCGAATTTGCGAACCTTTCGACATACAACCCCACGACCGAAATAATGCTAACGATAATTTAATAGCCACCTGAGAGCCACTGGTGGTGAAGTCGGTGCTTCCTCAGCATTGGCCCCTAAGATTGGTCCTCTTGGTTTGTCACCAAAGAAGGTCGGAGAAGATATCGCAAAGGCCACTGGAGACTGGGTATGTACACCGCGCATTACACAGTAGGACTTGGGAGCACGAACTGACGGATTTTTGTTTTGTAGAAAGGATTGAGAGTCACCGTCAGACTCACCATCCAAAACCGTCAAGCCGCTGTTTCCGTCGTCCCATCTGCCTCGTCCCTCGTCATCAAGGCCTTGAAGGAGCCTCCCCGTGACCGCAAGAAGGAGAAGAACATCAAGCATAGCAAGTCCATTACCCTCGATGAGGTTATTGAGATCGCCAGAACTATGAGATTCAAGTCCCTCGCAAAGGAGTTGAAGGGTACCGTTAAGGAAATCTTGGGTACCGCTTTCTCCGTTGGTTGCCAGGTTGATGGAAGAAGCCCAAAAGATATTAGCGACGATATCGAGTCTGGAGAGATCGAGAGTGAGTACTTGTGCGAAAAGTTTCTTTGATGCTTTTGCTAACCTAGTCAATCAGTTCCTTCGGAATAAATCAAAATTTAATTCGTTATTCGCAATGTTTCACGGACTACATACTTCACAATAGGTTGGGGGAGCAATGTCAATGATTCAACAAACCAATCTGCAATCTCATAAATGGTGATTCCTCGATTTACAGTTAACTTACGCGTGAATTGATGTGAATGTCCCAAAATATGAGAATGCCTAAGAAAATGACAAGAGAATGGTCGAAAATTCATATATACGCGACAGGGACTCGTCGATGCTGGGACTAGCCGGCAGTATTTAACAAATACCCTGGCAAATAACTTACCCTCCCTATAAGAACGTTGTCGGCAATACCTGTCAACACTTCGGATCGGTAACTTCCTCTCCTTTGGGGGCGTGGTTCGTTCTATGGTATCAACCTACCCTCGAAGCAAAGAGAGGAATTGCCCGTCTAATCACCACAGCATATCCTTCTTCCGAACTGGTTAAGGGTCCATAAATTCCCAATTAACATATGGATTAATTTGCGTGGCTGGCTATTCGAACCTTTCGCCTTATGTTCGTGACTGCTGCATAGCATACTCATTCTGATAGACTGTACCTACCTAGTTATACGACTTTGGGTGCTGCTGCATATCCAGGTGCATCTATGAAATAGGGTTATATTGCTATATTATTGGTTTGCACCGTGATGATCACAACAGGGGGCTGTGCATTAAATGAATGAATGGACGATGGATGGTGGAGGGTGAATGGGGCGGGTTGCATATGGCGCTCTATGGCTCTGAAGTGAAGTGCTATAGGGAAAGGGGAGGGGATTTTGGCCGAGTAGCCTGAGAATTTATAAGTAGAGAGTAGAGTAGATCATTAATTTGATTAGGAATTTGAATTTTGGTTTGAATTGTCCTTTGAGTTATAATTTGATGATGAGTTGAGTATAAAAGATCAAAATAAAAATTTGATGAATTTTATAGAATTGAATATATACTCGAGTAATATTACTTAGAAATAGAAATATATAATATTACGCTGACTCTTTGCTGACGAAATGCAGAAGGGTTTTCTCGATGTGATTGTGATACCAAAATGTTAGCTGAGAAAGGCGCTCAAGGCTTGTTTCTCTCGATTGATTGGTTGTTTTGCTTGAAAAGGGTCCCTTGTTATTTTATCCGCTTTTCTACGACTTGGATTGTAACTGAGTATGGCTTGGCTATGAATATCTTTTTATCCGTGTGATACCTTTAGAGTATAGTATACATTTTTTGACTGGAGCAGGAGTAGGAGTAATTTAATTCAATCAAGTACATAGGTACCTTATCTAGGTATAATACAAACAAGTCAACTTATTTAATTACGCTGCAACTCTACTACTTTACATCTCTACTTTAATCCGAGTCAGAAGCAACATAAAAAAAAAGCTACTTGTACAATATTATATTTACTAACTTCCCCTCTCTTTACACCTTCAAAAACGATTAAAATGCGTTTATCATGAATTTATATCTCAAAGAAACATGAACAAATTATTTTCACTACTCGTACTAGTACTAGACATTCTTTATTAAACCATTCCGCTTTTACTATTTGCCCTGACAATTAATTGCCTATCGCTTCACTACTCTACTACTACGAAATACCGGTACCCTTTCGTTAAACTTCTCCATTAATATACTTTACCTGTCTTCTTCTTACTACAAGTCTCCCTTCCCTTCCCGGTCCTGTCTTATACGGTATTCGGTCTTCGTATTATCATTTGGAAAGGTGGAATAGATTTTGGTTTTGGTTACGATAAGCCTTGCAATGCATCATTTGCACTGCACCACTTGAATCCACCACTACGCAGGAAACTCCACTTCGACCGTTTTGCAGGACCCTCAGAGGTTCAGAGGCTTCTCATCAATAAAATTTATCACTTCGATTCTTCGAGGAGGCTCCATAAGAACACCGGTACTGCCGCGACGTCGAGACGACCGCCCTCGGGCTGCTGCATATTACGAGCAGAGATGAGCAAAAGAGAAACAATTCCCCTCCTTCGTGCAGGCATTGGCACACCTTGGTATTAATGAATCAACGACCTGCTTCATTTTATGACCCATTCTTTTGCATTATATACCCATCTACTATTTTCGGAATACTAAATTCGCAAAGTAATGAAATATGAATCCTCAAGTTGCTCGACATTATCCTTCACAGCAGTTAGGCGCCATGCCGGGATATGGAAATCCTTCATTCGAACCTTTCCCTCAGACTGGAAGAGCAGATCGACCTGCGCCGCTACCATATCGAAGCTCTAGAAATCTCAGCTCCTCGTCCAATCTCGCCCCTCCCCATCGCGCATACCCAGTCGATAGCAATGAATATCAGAAGCCTGTGTTGGTCGGTCGCAGTATATCAGATCAAGACTTTGGTGATCAGCATATGCTGAGGCGGAAAACACCAAATGGTACACTAGCCGCGGGGTATGATGGAACTCCTGTGCAGTGGTCTAGCAAGGCACCTGCTTTGAAGCACGTTGTACTTGATGCCTCGGGAGGTTCAAATTTTTCAGATGGGTCGAATGGTATGGCAGGTACTGGTTGGAACTTCAATGCGCCCAATAATTTCAATAATCTTGATCAGCGAGTAAATAATTCATCGCCGCAGAATTGGACAACGTTTACCCCTCTTCAAAATAATTTTTATAGTTCCCCGGGTCATGTATCACCTATGCACCAAGTCCCCTCATACTTCTCGTCAAATGGATTCTCAGTTCCAACTGCACGACAGCCAGCGTACCAGCCTGGCCCTGGGCCTACTGCTTCAAATGATGGGGGCTTATACGGACCGTATTGGCCAGATGGAAGTTACACTCCGTATCGACCTGCTGCTTATAGAGATCACATTTTCGGAGGATATGATTTCCAGCAAGTAAACCATGGATTGGAATATTATGGAGGGCCGCAACTTTTACGCCAATCCGAATTCAACAACATTAACCCACCATTGCAAAGGGACGCATCATTTATGCGGATGGATGATCATTCTCAGTCATATGATTCTATGCAACAAAACTTGTATCAAATTGGTGGGAGCAGCAGTGCAGTTTTCACTGATGCTTCGTGCCCTCCGATTCAACCGCTGAGCAGGGCTGGCAATGCTCAATTCAAGGAAAAGACACTCTCATGGGCGCATACTATCTATGTAGATCTGTTAGCTTATTTACATCAAACGAAAAAGGAGAATCGACAAAATCGACTATCAAATGGCTCCAAACCTTATGCCAAAAGTGTTATTTATCCAAAACCACCGAGGCAGCCGAGCTCAAATTTTTCTTCCCCGGGAAACACTCAAAACGATACATCTTCAAGGGCTCATCGTCCGAGTCTCAGCCACCGTGCTTCTTATGGCTTCCCGGAATCGTCGGAGGGGAGATACTCGCGGTCTATGAATCCAGTGACAGGGGTCCCACATTATGTGCCTTCTTTCGAACCCTCGCAGCACAGCTCAGCACCCCCCCCAGCTAATGCCCAGGACGCACTGGATCTTCTCACAAGTCTTTGCGAGGAAAGCAATTGGACCTGGGTTGATGGGATGTTACTGGGAGGATGTCTTGCATATGGATTAGAGGATTACAATAGAGCGCGGGACTGGTATGAGAAAATAATCGCTATAGATCCAAGGTATGTTGTATATCCCCGTTACTGTGACACATGAACTAATCGTGATGCTAGGCATGTGGAGGCAATTTCAAATCTGGCAGCTACACTTTTGTGCTTGCAGAGACGTGGTGAGGCAGAGGCAAATTGGCGAAAATCTGTCAACCTTCGACCAAATTACTTCGAGGCTGTTGAGCATCTGATCGGTCTTCTCTGTGGTGATCACCGAGGCAAGGAAGCAGTTGCTATCATTGAGTTTGTGGAACGCTCTTTACGGATTCCAAAAACCGATGATCACCATGATCATTATAGCGAGACATCGAGTAACGCCGATCGAGAATTTCATGATTTCGCAAGGGCAACATCTGATACGATTGGAGACTACGATGATAGGGACCCTCCTTCGATACTCAGTGATAGGCTTGAAGATGGTCCTGACCGGATCGGTTTTGGTTCAAGTGGCTTCGCAATACCCGGGTCGGAGAATGGCCGAATTTTGGCTCTTATACATGCTAAAGGCAATATGTTGTACGCTCTTGGTGATGTTAGTGCGGCATCTAAAGCATTTGAGGATGCCGTTGTCATAAGTGCAGGCAAAGGGGTAGGCGGAATACAAGGACTTATTCGCAGGATAATCCATAGCTTGTCCCTGAATTGTTTCCCGGGAATGCGCACTGAGCACGCCTCTCTCCACACTTCGACGCCGGCTTCGTTGCCCTTGCTCTTACCTCCCGATAAAGCTTTAGAGTCGAAGAATTTGGTATTTGCTAGGAACGGCGAGCTTCCTGGTCTTCAATATGTTCCTCACGGTTTGGCTCAAAAGGCTGCCATATCTACTACCAGTAATTCTCTTTTATCCTTGGCCAAAATCTTTCAAGATGGCATGTCTAACAGTACACCTCAACGAATTCCCAGGATGCCTACGGGTGTTGGAGATATCCTCGCATTGTATTATCTATCTTTGTCCCTGCAACCTAGCCCATCAACAGCCAATAACGTTGGTATTCTCCTTGCAAGCGTACAACAGCCGGCTGCTCATCGTCCCATCCCGTCTCGAGATCCCACGACTCTTACTGCCATACCTGGAGTCGTTGCCGGCAGTGGTGTTGCTCTGGCACTTGCTTACTATAATTATGGACTGCTTTTGGATTCAAGACACGCACATCTTTACACCAATTTAGGGAGTCTACTCAAGGACATCGGCCAACTTCCTGCTGCGATAAAAATGTACGAGAAAGCAGTACAATGCGATGGGACTTTTGACATTGCTTTGGCAAATTTAGCAAACGCCGTCAAAGACCAAGGACGTACAAGTGATGCAATTGAGTTCTACAAAAGAGCAGTGAAGGCAAGTCCGGATTTTGCGGAAGCAGTTTGCGGTCTCTCCAATGCTTTAAATTCAGTCTGTGATTGGAAAGGACGAGGAGGGGTTATACTTGATGGTGGTAAACGAGATCAATGGCATGTTGACGATGACGGAATGATATCAGAAGCAAACCCAAACAAACATGGCGGAGGACTGATGAAACGAGTTGTTGATATTGTTGCCAAGCAATTGAGGGAAGGATCGACTTGGGGTCGAGGAACTTTACAAGGTCAATCGCTTGTCCATTTCCTGCGGCAGCTTGAGGCTGCTGATTGTGGTGGTGAGTGGCCCCACGAGAAAAGAAACAGTATTCAGACTGCCGTTGGCGCTTGGGCTGGACATCGCTGGGAGGGGGCACGAATTGTACGCTTGGTGGAACGTGCCGCAAAACGGGCCACGCACCGATGGTATCATGACAGACATGTCAAGAAAAAGGAACATCCTGCCAGCTTTTATCCTCGCCCTCGATTCCCAAGCAACCTACCAGTACCCTCAGCACCTACCGTCTTACCGTTTCACACTTTCACCTGCCCATTATCTGCAAAAGACATACGTCTAATCTCTCAACGAAACGCCCTTAGGATCTCATATTCTACTTTGCGATCTCCTTGGATGCTGGGCTCCGTATTTCAACCCCCTTCTCCCCCGAGACCTCATCTCAACATTGGATATGTTTCTTCTGATTTTAATAATCATCCCTTGGCACATCTGTAAGTGTTTGCCCTCCTTTTGTGTTAATATGCTAATAATATCTTAGGATGCAATCCGTCTTTGGATTTCACAATCCTTCGCGAGCAAAAGCGTTCTGTTATGCGACGACTGCTAGTGATCACTCTATTCATAGAGAGCAAATTGAACGTGAGGCTCCAGTCTTTCGTGATGTCAGTTCATGGCCTGCCGACCGCTTAGTGAACCAAATCGTTCAGGATAATATTCATATTCTCGTGAATCTCAATGGATATACTCGAGGTGCTCGTAATGAAGTATTTGCTGCTCGTCCAGCTCCTATTCAGATGTCCTTTATGGGCTTTGCTGGAACTCTAGGAGCCGAATGGTGCGACTATCTCTTGGCAGACGAGACCGCAATTCCACCCGAGACACTACGTCCTTGGAGACGAAATCTGGACCTAGAAGATCAAGTAGAGGATGAATTGTCTATCAGTGAGGATCGTTGGGTATATTCGGAGAATATTATATTCTGTCGGGATACATTCTTCTGTTGTGATCATGCTCAATCGGAACCAAGAGATCGACAAGTATCATGGGAAGTAGAGCAGACTACTCGATGGCAGATGAGAAAGCAACTCTTTCCAAGTTTGTCTGATGATGCTATCATCCTTGGGAACTTCAATCAACTTTACAAGGTATGTCATTGATAACTCTTTACCATCCGTTTCTTAGACCATGTGCTGACTATTCTTAGATTGAACCGACTACTTTCCGTACTTGGCTAAGAATCCTGGACAAAGTTCCAAAAGCGATTCTTTGGCTTTTGCGCTTTCCTGATCTCGGCGAAAGTAACCTAAAAGCCACAGCACGAGATTGGGCAGGAGAAGGTGTTGCATCACGAATCTGGTTTACAGATGTAGCTCCCAAACATCAACATATTTCCCGCGCACGAGTTTGCGATCTCTTTCTCGATACCCCAGAATGTAACGCCCATACAACAGCTGCAGACGTCCTCTGGTCCAGCACCCCATTACTGACCCTCCCACGCTATAAATACAAAATGTGTTCACGCATGGCAGCATCGATTCTGAAAGGTGCCCTCCCCCGAAGCGAAGAGGGCAACAGAGCTGCCGCGGAACTTATCGCAAGGGATGAGGAACAGTATGAAGAATTCGCAATAAGACTGGCACGAAACTTTTATTATGATACAAATAAGGGATATGGTATTGGCAGGGGAAGATTGGGTGATCTTAGGAGATTGCTGTATGAAAGTCGTTATGATTGTGCACTTTTTGATACGAGGAGGTGGGTGAGGGATTTGGAGGGTGCGTACGAGGTTGCTTGGAGGAAATGGGTGGAGGGGGAAGGGGGAGATATTTATATTCGTTAGGAGTGGGGTGGGCTATGGTTGAGGGGGAGGCGATGGTGATTAAGGGGGTGCGTGATATCGTGGGTGGTCTGTAGAGTAGCGCAATGCAATTGGGCTGAGGACAGCTCGGGCGTTCGTATTCATTCGTATTCTATGAAAGCGATTTTGGAGTCTTTTTGGATGGCATGGTATGGCATGTTTTTAGGGATCTTTAGGATAATCACTGCATGGCATTTTATATGGATATGTATGGACGGGATTGGATGGTTGAATGGATTGGGGGATAGGGATATACTTGAGAGATACTTAAGGGATGGATGGATATACTAGGGATAGGGATAGGGATATGGATAGGAGTGAAAGAAGATATGTGGGGAGGGGGGAGGGGTAAGAGAATTCTTGTTCTAGGGGCGTCGAATTGAAATCTATTTCCTTTTTTTTTTCTTTTTTTTTCTTTTTTTTGCTTACGAGCTTTTAATGTTCTGGTGGAAGGAGGAAGAAGGAAGAAGGAGATTTGGGGGAAGGGGGGAGAGGGAGAGGGGGGTGTGAATTGAGTTGTGGGGGAGGTTGGAAACGAGGTTGGAAAGAAGGAAGCAAGTAAATCATCCAATTATAAAAGGGATGGATATGGATATGGATATTCTATTGGTATAGGGAATCCGATTGAATTAGGATAAAGGTTGGAATTAGGAGAGAGGTTTCACAAAATAGACTACTTGTTTAAATTTTTGCAATTTTTGCATTTTTGTGGGGGGAACTTGAAAGGGAAAGAAAGGTGCTGAGATGACTGATGTGATTTTTGATGGGGTGAGTTGACTGAGGTGTTGTGATGGGTGATGTGATATGAGATGAGAGGGGCTGAGATGATGTGAGATAGGTGATGAGATAAGTTGAGTTGATATGGGTGATGGGATGGGTGATGTGATGTGAGTTGAGTCGAGGTGATGTGATAGGTAGTGATTTGATTTGATCCTACATACTATTTATTTAGTACTATACTAGCAAATAGAGAGAGCTGCAGAGAGTATCTAAATCTTCTTTTTCGAGTCTTCTTCTTCTTCTTTTCCAAATCAACAAAATAACTTGAACTTCCTTGAAACTTCCTTCTTCCTTCCTTCCTTCTTCTTTACTCAAGTATCTAATCAAGACTTTTGTTTATTTATTTATTTATTTTGTTCTTATTTACTTACTTGCTTATACTCATGCTTATACTTATACTTACTGTATGAAATAGATAGAGGAGAGATATGTATATGAATAAGAAGGAGTAGGATATTCTGTTTGATATTTGAAAGTTTGTGTATATTATATATTACGAATATTTATTGAATACTGATTTTTATATAAAAGAGGAGGATGAGGAGAATGAGGAGAAGGGGAATGGGATGAGAATGGGATGGAATACCGGTAGGAGATTATTTTAGTTGACTTTGACTTTTTAGTAACGAGGGAATGAGATGGGATAGGATAGGATAAGATAGGAGGATATTTTAGTTGGCTTTGACTTTGACTTTAATTAATTATATTATATTAGATAAACCTAACTAAGTACTTACTCACTACTCGAGTATGTATAGTATAGGAAACGATATAATCAAAGACTATCTATCTATTTATTCTTTCTCAGTCTACTAGTATTATAAATCGTTGCTCAAAACGATAATATAGTCACGGTATAGCGATTCTTTATAACTTGAAATACTCGATTCGCAGCAAGTAGATAGACTATTGTATTATAATAATCCAAGTCTATACTACAACTACAAAAATAAGAATAATAATTCTACTTAGTACTGGAGTATATTACTAGCAATATATATTCGATTAGATTAGCCCTTTGTATAGATGCTTGTTTGTAGTAGTTTGCTGTCCGAGTCTTTTTGAGATGAGGAAACCTTAGAATGATATGATTGAGTTTGAGTATGTTGAATACAGTATTGATGCTAAGGGGGGAAGATGGGGAGGACAGGAATGAGATGGGTGGAGAACTTATCATCATAGCTTTGACTTGACTGGCTGGTAATGTTGAGTAGAGATAGGAGCCATGGGAAGTGAGATAATTGAAGGCCATGTTACTCGTAAAGTCAATTCGAAAATAAGATCATGGAACACACTAATTCAAAAGAAAATCAATCACGTTAACAATAAAGTTCTATATTTCCATGAACTCCATTGAAAATAAACAAATTGGTATATCAGTATGACACAAAACGCTTTTGATATTCATTCATAAAGCCTATCTATTGCGCCTTCCATGTTTGAAACCCTCCAGATCCCATTTCACAAAGCTTGAATAATCTAGTACTCAGCAGAGCTTCCTTGTGGGAACTCGAAGACGACACCACGACCAGTCAACTTCTTGTAAACATCAGAGTAGGTATCAAGTCTGTGATCAACACCTCCCTTCTCCTTCTCATCGAGAATGACCTTCAAGACCTTGCTTCCATCCTCCTTGGTACGGAGACGCTTTCCGACAATCTCAACTGGGAAGACGATATCGGTGAGGATAGCATCGTGGACAGCAGTCAAAGTTCTTGAACGAGGACGCTTTTGAGTGAGGGATGTTCGGGAACGGTTGGATCTCTTTGGGCGGGGAAGGATACGACGACTAGCGAGGATCAAGACGTGACGGTCAGAGAACTTCTTCTCGAGTTCACGAGTAAGACTATTTCATCTGTTAGTAATTATAAACACCATGCAAGGAATAAAATACATACCGTTGTTGAACCTTGTGGAAAGCTTGAAGGGAAGGAACGGGGACAAAGATGGCAATAGCCTTCTTGCCGTGGCCAACTTCAATCTAAAATTTGATCAAAGTCAGCATGCGATCTCCAGTCGAAAAGACATGGTCCGCAGCCCGTTCGATTCCACCATCAACGCCGACATCCCCACTCTCATTGTATAATGTATCTTCATCAATTCCATTTCATCTTCCTAATTGACCAAAAGTATCCTTTTCCATTGTCTGTTTATATTTCGAAACTTTCCAAGAAAAGTGATACCGATATCCAATATTCGATGATGAAATGTCCTCTTGTATACGATATACGAAATGAAATCGAAATGTCGACGTCAATCGCAAAAACATCGGATGTCGATAATAGCTGCATTCCATTTCTGTATTTACGCAATATGTTACTGTGCTCGCGCAGATTTTACTTGCGTTTGCAACAGGAATCATTTGCATATTAATTTAGATCGGAAGAAAAATAATCTTACCTCCTTGGCGGAAGAGAATTGAAGAGGTCTCAAAGCTGCCTTCAAATCCGGGGTGTTGGACTCGAGGTCATAAAGAGCACCAGCGATGCTGGTCTCAAGCTCAGATGGGTTTGCGTGCGCAGGGCTGGTGGCCACGATCTTGTTAAGGGCAGACATGATTGCTGAGGTTGTCGATTGTCGTGATGGGAATGGAGAGAGAAATCGAAACTTTTGACCAAGATTAAGATGGAGGGATTTTGGAAATTGTGCG